AATTTTGCACTCTTGCCCCTTGCAGAAATTTTAATACTGAAGTTGGATGAAACTTTTGTGTTACCGTATTTCCTTTTTTTTTTTTTTTTTTTTTTAAAAAAAAAAAACAAAACAACCAGTCAGATCAATGAGTAGGCAGTGCCTAACAATATTTTAAGACCATATGTTTTGAAGAATTTTTTGGGGGGTTGGGGGTGGGGGCAGTTTTGATAATGTTTATGCTACTCTAATATGTTCTTGCTTTGTCCCATTAAAATGCTGATGCCTATAAAATTTGCCTGATCTATTTTTTTCCGTGGTGATGAATGGGCGATTTGTGGGTTTTGTTACCAGGTGTGTAATAAGACTACATTCAGGTGATACACTCTACTGTGATATGATTTAGGGAAAATAGGGCTTTCCCCTAGAGGTCTGTTATATAACACCTTGTATACGTGTCACTACAGCTGTAGATACATATGGCCTGTAAGAGAAGGGGAAAAAGTTGCAAATAGGCTTCGATTCTTAACAACCTTAAATTGTTGTATAGTCGCTAGCTCGCTACAAAATAGAATCTGAAGTTCCGGTCAGCGTCGTACTGCACTTCCCAGCATTCGTTGTTCAAGTGATATACACCCCCTTTGAGCATGTGATCGGTGGATAATCCAACCCCGTGGCTCGTTACAACTGCAAAGCGAAGTCGCGTTTGTAAGAAGCAATGGCGACGGTCTAGAGGAAGAAGGCAGCATTTCAAAGCTAAAATCGACCATACAGCGGCAGGACGTTCGGTGTTGAAATTCAGGTATGCATTACGGGAAAAAAACACAATCCTGAACGGGCACGGGTTGCGCAACACCACCTCTCAGAAAACTGGGGTTGAAAACGTTTAAACCGACAGTCCGTTAATGGTTTGTAATACCAAGTGGAACAACTAGCCTTCTCCCCCGTTGGCCGAAGGGCCAGAAATGCGCCTCCAAATCCAAGGCAAAAGGAGAACGATATCGGCGGTACACAGTACTGTCTGCCGTTAGCTGTCCAGCTCAATCTACAGCCAGAACACAGACAAAACGTGTATCTAGTGTCGGAAAATGTACAAAATTCTAATAACAGAGCATGCAATACGAGTAAATGGTAAAAGGTACGGGACTAGGGAGCGTTATGTCACTGTTTGCTGGTCACCTCATGCACAGCCGCAGTATCAGTCCCAGCGAAAGCACTTATTCACAAAAACAGCAGCTGTCAGCGGTTTCTAATGCACTGACGCGCCCTTATAAACCATTATAAAATCTTTTTAAAGCTGTTTCGATGAAGTAGTTTATATAAAGCCACTCTTTCTATTTGTCTGCAATACAGTATTTTAATTTATAAGCCTACCTTAAACACAAGAGTATAATTGGTTCATTTCCAGTGCCAGTAAGCATGAATAAAGATATATTAATTTAACAACTATTAATTTTTTTTACTTATGAGCACTGTCAATGACTTATTATTATTTGGAAACAGGCAGGTGTTCAGACTATCTTCCAATGGAAAGTGCCCTGGTGGAATCTGGCATGGTGATGGCCCCCACGGCAGCACAGAGTTCAGCCCCCCTCAGTCTGGGCACGAAGTCACGGGACAGAAGGAAGACCCCCGCTTTCCTGTCAAACCTGGGCAAAGCCACCCTGCGTGGGATTCGCAGATGCCCCCGATGCGGGGTCTATAACGGCACCCGCGGCCTGAGCTGCAAAAACAAGGCATGTGGGGTGGTCTTCCGCGACGGTGCGGCGGGGGCAGGTGGCAGGACAGGGCCGAAGAAAGGGGGCGGCGAGGTGGTGCGGCTGGTAATAAATGGGGATGGCGGGGAAGGGGGGGCAGCGGTGACTCAGGTATTCTCCCTGCGTCAGCGAGGGAGGGGCGCGGAGCAGCGCGGTTTCGTGGAGCTGACCGTGACAGACACGGCCATCGCCACGGCGGACGGCACCGTGCTCACGCGCATCAGCCTCGGCCGCTGCTTTGTGCCGGCGTGCTTGCGGGGGCAGAGCCAGGGTCAGGGACAGGCGCTGAGCCCGGAGCAGGCTGCCGGCACGGGACAAGGGCCGGACCCCCAGCAACAGCAGCCCGAGAGCCCCTGCGTACACGTGAAGCGCGCCATGGAGTGCCAGACGGACGCCACCCCCCTCCCGCTGAAGAGCTCGGTGCTGGACTCCATGCAGGCCCCTGTGTGGGCCAAGGAGGAGGTGTGGCAGCTGGCCACCGAGTCGCCGAGCCCCCTGGTCCAGCGTGTGTCCCGTGGCACGTTGGTGGTTAAGTGCCACGTCAGCGAGCAGCACCCACTCGGGCTCCTGCACGTCACTCTGGGTTCCACGCCGGGGGCCACGAAGGCAGATCTCCCTCTCTGCGAGAGGTCGGCGGCAGACTTCCACTGTGCCTGTCAAGCTGTACACCCAAGGAGAGGATTTGGGGTTCGGGCGAACGAGGAGCAGGAGGGCCAACTGCCTCCCAAGCCCCCTGCACCTCCTGCTTCCTCCTCCTCCACCTCCTCCTCAGCCCAGGAACCCTGCCTCCACTTCTACGCATGCGTGTGCGCCATCGCCAGCGATGACAAGCTGGCGTCTGAGTTCGCCGACTTCCTTGGCTGTAGCTACAATGGTACGCAGGGTCGTCGTCTGGCGCTTTTGGGCATGGTGTGTTTACCGTGGCGACGGTATCCCACGGCGACCGTTTCCCACAGACCTCTGTTCCATCTGTGTATCTGTGCGTTTCTCGCACGTAGGTGGGCAGGCGAGCGCTGACTGCCCTGTCCTCAGTGCACCTAATCCCCTGCGGCCAGCCAAGCCTGGCGCCCCCAACAGGGCTAAGAGGGTGAGAATCAACGAGACCCTCACAGGTGAGCTCATGCACCTCCTCCATGATGTTCTGGGTCTGCTATGTTCTGCTATGAGGCCCAAAGCATGACAAGGCTGCCATCATCTATATGTTTTCCCCTATAATCTATATTGTTACTCCAATTAAGGTAGACCGTGTAGGCAAAGAAACACGGGGTGGACGGTGTGGTTCAGCAGGTTAGGATAAGAGGCTGTGTTTGTGATCGGAAGGCTGCTGGTTCGAATCCCAGGGTTGCTAAATAAGTAAAATGTGGAAAAAAATCTGAAAATGCAGCAAGGGCTGGTCTTGGAAAGAGGGGTGTAACTCAAATTGCTGGTGTTTATAAATGTCGGAAAAGGATTAAGTAAGGGTACCCCCTACTGAAAATGAAATGTGATTAATGTCTGAAAGGAAATGATGGTTGATGTTAGTATTTCGGGTCATTTGAAGATGAGAGTGGATTTCTGGTGCACCTTCGCCGTAGTGCCGTGTTACACGGGCTGGAGAACGGTGTCCAAGGTGCTTAGGTCTGCTCCGTGAGCTGGCACTGGCCCAGAGGAGTTAATTAGCCTGGGCTTTTCCCTACTTTTCCCCCGGCCAGTGCCATCCTCACACAGAGAGGGGTGTTCTCTGCTTTTCCCCCGGCCAGTACCATCTTCATACAGATAGGGGTGTTCTCTCCCTCTCTGGCTGGGCCCACATCTCAGCTTGAATCTTCGTGTTTCTGTCCCCCCTCCAAGGTGTCCGAGAGACCCATTTTCCCAGCAACCTGCGCAGACCCACTCAGAGGAAACATCCCATTTCTGCCGTTCTCAAGAGCACCGGTGAGTTCTGGACCCTCCGCCACGATTCCTGTGATGATGCACATTTTTCTGGCTCGTTCCCACCGTTTACGTCGCTCGCCTCCATCGTCTTCACATCCATCCCCCACAGGAGGCAGCCAGCTTGTGGACGAGGGCCATGTCTCCCTCTCCTTCCAGCAGTGGCTTGCCAGCGTCACCGAGAGGATCCACCAGACCATGCACTTCCAGTTTGACGGTGCGTCTGGCAGCCATGTTTAATGATGCTGTGAAGTTGGGTTTATAGAGCTCTTGTTTTCATGACGATCTTGCACTTGTTGGAAGCTCAGCCTAACAGCCCCTGTACCTAACTTGACTCTTTGAGAAACAGAATTTATTGTGGATTATCTGGTTCTCTTTTGTGTTGCTTTGGACTCAAAACAGGGCATATACAAGGGTGGGGCTACTGGGCCCTATCCCCAGCTGAAAACTGATTGGCCCTTGGAGTGTCCCCTCCCCTGTCACTCACTGATTCAATACATATCATTGGCTAATGATAAGGTTGGCCCCTCTTATGCTATTGAGTAAATGAAGGTAATGCTGAAGCATAAACCAATGTTCGTGCCTTGAGTGAATGTCGCAGAGTCCGGGTGTCTGCAGCCGGCCTTGAATTATAACTGTAACATGGAGAGCAGGGGTGGTTTGCTTTTTCTGGGGGCCACACTCAAAAAGTCATTTTGGGGCCCCCAGCACCACCTCAGATGCTTCAAAAACTAAATAGCTAGCAAGTTTCGTTAGAGGATCATAGCTAACTGATTAGCAGACCATGCTGCTTCAGAATCTCCTAAATAAGGAATGTATTTATTTGCTATATAGTGTAGTGACTGTTTGTGGCCAGCAGGGGGCCCCAAACCTCAAGGGCCCCATGGCAATGTGTGGTTTGGGTGGTAGAGAGTGACGTCCCCATGTCACCGGCAGGAAAGCCAGAGCCGCTGGTGTTCCACATTCCCCAAGCTTTCTTCAACGCCTTGCAGCAGAGGCTCTCGCTGGGCTCCAAGAAGAGGAGGCTGCCCAACTCCACCACGGGTACGCAGAGGGGGTCCAGTGGTGGGGATTTAACGGGCACACCCCTCACCCCCACCTACGATCTGTGCCGTATTCTCTCACATTGCGGTATGCTGACTGTAAGCCGAGAAGAGTCCTGTAACACCAAACACAGGACGTTAGAGAAACAGAGCCCGCGGGCCGCCTGACTGACTGGTGCGCTCTGTCCCTGGCAGCCTTCGTGCGGAGCGATGCCCTCCCCCTGGGCACCTTCTCCAAGTACACCTGGCACATCACCAACCTACTGCACGTCAAACGGATATTCGACACGCCCGAGGTGTGCGCCGCACTCCCGCTTCTTGTCTCCCGAGTTAGGGCCGCCTTCTGTCTGCCCCCAATCCTGTTTTTTTTCCCTCCCATTTGTTCTGACTTTTGTGTGTTTATTTGGATGATTATTATATTTCCTTTCTGGGTTTTCATCCATGTTTTTATCTATTTTGACCCCCAACCTGTCTCTCTCCGGCCTAGATCTCCCTGACTGCTCTCTCCTTGACTGCTCTCTCCTTGACTGCTCTCTCCTTGACTGCTCTCTCCTTGACTGGTCTCTCCTTGACTGGTCTCTCCCTGACTGCTCTCTCCTTGACTGGTCTCTCCCTGACTGCTCTCTCCTTGACTGGTCTCTCCCTGACCCCTCTCTCCCCGGCCCACCTCTCCCTGACCGGCCACTCTCACCTTGACCCCACTCCCTGACTCCTCTCTCCCTCTCTGCTTTCTCCCTGACCTCTTTCTCCCAACTGCACTCTCCTTCACCCCATTCCCCGACCGCTCTCGGCTGTGGTTTCCCTTCTCTGCCGGCCGTCCTCTCTGTCCTTATGGTTGTCACACCTGCTTTCTTTCTCCCACCTCCCTGCCAGCTGCCTCTGGAGCTCACACAGAGTTTTGTGAAGAACCGCGATGGCTCTTATTCGCCTTTCCGCTGTCCGGAAGTGCCGCCTGAGCCCGTGGCTGATGGTCATGGTCGATCTGAGCGACCGCAGGCAATCCGACCGCTGGAGCTTCGCACCTTCCTGATAGTAGGTGGGTGTTCCTGCAAGCTGCCCTGGCCCCGCATGTTGGAGCAGATTATAAGCAAATGTCGAAGAATCTGGGTACAACTGTAACTTCACACCCCAGGGTTCTAGGTTCGAATCATAGTGCCCATAGTGTATGTATGACTGTGTTTGGATGTTTGCCCTGTGATGGACTATCGTCCTATCCTGTGTCTCCTGTATCTCGTGCCCTGGACTCTGTGATTGGCTCCAGCCCCCCTTGTAACCCTGTCTTGGTTCAGTGGTTATGAAGAATGGCGGTATCTGTCATGCAATCTATCATCCCCCTGCAGGGACTTCGACACCAGAACAGAAGGGACCCACTCCCTTTGTGATCGAGTGGATTCCGGACATCTTGCCCCAGTCGCGGGTTGGTGAACTGCGGATCCACTTCGAATATGGGCACCAGCATGGCACGCAGCCAGAGTCCGCTGGGAGTCCTGGGGCAGGCGGGGCCCCCAGGGGGCGGGCCGGTCCTGACGCCAGCCAGTCGCAGCCTGCGCCGACCATCGAGATCTTACGCGTCGTCGTCCCGTGACGGACTCTTTACATGATGATTAGGGGATGAACTCTTTTTTTTAATGACCCAGAAGCTGGCATGTTGTGTGTGTTTAGTGAGGAGCATCTCAGACTCACCAGCTGTTGTCATGGTGACGGCACACACCGAGAGCTGTGCTTCGGTTTGATTTCCTAGATGGTTTGTGTGTGAACTTTTATGTGCTTTAAGTGTTCCTCCAGTAATCTGAATCACTCCAGTGCTGCTGAGTGTTGAAACGATTGCCATGTTTCTATGAAATGAGTTTCGCACTGGGGGAACTGGAGCAGAAGTGTTTTAACGGGCCGTCATATGGGTTGGTACTCACTGCTGTGGTTGACCGGCTCCCAGGAGATGCTGCCGCTACCTCGACATACCTGCAGCGCCCCTAGTGTTCACAACCAAAGAATAAAGGTGAGAATTTTGCCAAATTCCAGCATAAAACTGAGTCACACTCTGACTGGGGGTGTTTTGGCAATCCTTCATGTCTGGAGAATAGTTTGCCATAAATATATGCACAGGAACTAGTGATATCAACATTTAATTCAGTATGTTATTGGTGGTGAGGTATTCTGTCAGTTTGAAGTGGAATGTAAATGAGAGTCCTGTCAAGTCAGATTATAGTTTTTATTTACTTATCCAGTGTCAGCCAAAAAAGTGACAATGGATATTACAATAGGAGGTGTGGATCTGGTTAATTAACCAGTTATACTAGTCTGTTAATCACATGTTACATATGTTCACGTCATGAAAACCAGAGGAAAAAGAAACATTAGCAAAATTAATTTTGGCAGAAATAGCAGTTGTCACACACATTATTTATTTGGTTAAGCAGATGTTTTATGCCAAGCAGTTCATATAGCTCATAGCTCTTGACATTTTTCACAGTGTGATATTTACTGAAGCAATTCAAGTAAATTCTAAGGCTGCAGGGGTTTTTTTCCTTTGCATTTCCCTGGCTGCTCCACAGGGGGGCGCCATCAGCCTACAATAATGAACAGCACGGTACACTAGGCCGGAGTGATGTGCCCTGTCGCTGTTTAGAACGCAACACTGTTCAAGTTGACCCCAATCAGGGGCGACGGCGTGAGGAATTTGCTGGCGCCTTCTGTTAGCCTTCCGCTAAAGTCGGAGGTGACAGCTACGTAATGAATGAGCGACAGGCCGCCGCAGATGAAAAGGTCCCCCACGCCCCCGGCGTCCCCCTGCATGATGCGCTGTGATGCAATCTGCCCCCCGGCCATGTCATCAATCACGGCCGCACCCCCCCTCCCCTTCCTGAAACGCCAATCGATTAATCAATCTACGGCGAGAAGCCCGACCAGGGATGCAGGCGGCCCACAAGGTCACACGCGCACCCTTCTCGGCCATGATTGGCCAGCGGTATCCATTAGCGGCTCCGCGGCACTGAAATCGTCAGCCTGATATATCTGTCTGTTTGCCGCTGTCACGCCGCTCTGCCAGCATTAATACTATTAAAAGCCGCCTGTCTGTCAGGAGCGAGGGTAGCGTTGGCTAGATGAGCTGCAGCACCGGAGTGGAAATCAATCATCAGTTTGGGCCGTTCCCCGTGACGAAATGGGACCTTGCCATTTTTCTTTTTCCTTTATTTCCGTCTTTCTGACGTTCCGCGGAGCCTTTGGTCAAGCCCCTGCGAATGATCAGTGAAGGGAGCCTGCCCACTGCGTTTGGCCTGCCCAGTGTGCAAGCGGGACACCATACTCACCCCAACAGGTGAGTCTTGGTGGCTACCAGAGATGCCTGCTATCGTTTCCCACCGTGGGGAAGAGAAATAAAGTTATAGGTTTGCAAGCACTTTGGCAGGTCGCTCTGCCGAGTGGAAGGGCGTTGGTTCAAAAGCACACAAGCATGGAGGAAGTCACACTCAAGTAGAAGACAAGCAGCTTGCGAGGGCTGCAAGATGGCCGATGTAATGCACTCCCATACACCACTGCAGGCAACAAAGCACGCCCCGGCTTGTAACCAGGTGTGTTCGGTCACGGTTCCTCTACTAAGGCCGATCCCTTATGATTTCTCTCATCATCGAGGGCAGGTGGATTTGGATGTGAATTTTGGCTTTTTAATCCAAAGGAAAGTCCACAGTCCTAAGCCTAGTTCATACGTCGCGTTTCCGTGTGTACTATTGGGCTGGGGATGGTCATCTGTGCGGCAGCTTGTGCTCTTGCTGCACCTGGCTGGGGGCGCAGATGGTTGTGATTGCTGCATATTCCACCAGACCAGGAGGGGGTAGCTGTATTACAATAAACACAAATACAAGCCGTGTAGTGAAATTGGTAACGTTTTAGGAAGTTTCAAAGTTGTTAGTCAAGACAGGAGTGATAAGGCATATTTTTAAATTCCATATGACAAAATTAGCCGGGACCCCACCCACTGGCTAATTTTATTGCTAAGATTTCAAAACGCCAAAATAGTGACTATTAAAAAACTCTATACCTGGGTATAATACTAGACAGTATTAAATATTAGATATGTGGATACCTCTGACCCTCTTCAGCTGTTTATCATAGCTAGGACTACAACAACTATTCTACTCTTGTCGTTGACCGCTGATCTGTGAAAGTCCACACTGCCACCTATTAGAAATACCTAATCAATTGTTTTGCACATGCCAGGTAGATGTGCAAAGTTTCTGCTAGACATGAGAATCTGGGTTACATGCACACTGACAGCAACCATTTGCAGCTGAATCACCACTGAAGGCGAAATTTATGTTGCGTGCCCTCGTCCGCAACCGAAAGCGCACGTGGAAAAGTGACTTTGACCTTTATATGAAGAACAGCTGCTCTTCTGGGACCTGAGATTTTATAGTCGCCGCTCCTGTTGCTTAGATACTTAAATCCTTAATGCTATCCACTCAACACCTCAGGCCTGAAGGCCTACCTGGCAACGTGTATGTGCTTGCTGCTTGTTTGGTGGAGTAAGAAAATTATGCAGGTTTTTTAATGATTTGGACTTCATAGGTGTGACCAACCAATCATATGTCTTGGTCCCGCCTCCTGCCTCAATCTGATTGGTTATCTCTCTCAACCAATCATGTTTTTGTTCTGCCCTCAGAACATTGTGTAGGCTAAACTCCCCTGAGCTGAGTGTGTTTCAAAACACCGGGTCCCATTAGAGCACTATCCAGGTTCCGTGTCCTTTCAACAGTGCTGCAGTGCAGTGGTGACTGGATGATGGACAGAATGGACAGACTGGAGGTCAGGTTCAGCCTTATGGGGAGAGAAGATGCCCAGGGAGCGCTAGGGTATGGGTGCATGGTGGAAGGGACCATCCAAGGGATCCTACAGGAGCAGAGATGAAAACTAGCCTCCTTCCACAGCCCTCCGGAGATGTGGACTGAAAAATAAACACATCACAGTAATTAACCTTGACAGGGCCAATGTGCTGGCAGCGTCAGAAATGTGCTAATGACTTAATTAATCTGTAATTAAGACATACTGTCTGCCAATACTGGCGGGTTGCTTGGACTGGTCAATAGCATAAAGATGAGCGAGGGTAAAAGATTGGGAAATATTCTTGGCCGTGTGTCTATATTTACTGTCATACCAGCCCCTGCTGTCTTTCTAGAAAACCTTTCAGCAATGCATTTGTATCGTGAGGACAGGAGCTGCCAGCTTTACACAGAAATGTGCCCCATTTTTTACCACCATACTCCTCGTGTTTATCCATTAAAGTACCTCAAATTATAGTGTCAAATTATAGTGAACGAGCTCCATTTGAGTCAGTCGTATTTAAATCTGCCGAGTGATTTACTACCCGGTCTGTCAGTATCTTCATCTCTTTATTAACCTATTATGGAATATAAATAGCATGGTCATGTGGTAAATGGACTGGCGTCAGAGCTAGGGCGTCCCCTGCCTGCTGCCCTGAGCTTCCTGGAATAGCTGCCAGTCTCACTGTATCCATACTGGATAGGCAGTTATGGACAGTGATGTTAATGTGTCTGTTATTGATAAAAAAAAATGTGGTCATTTTATACAGATATATGATGTTTGGTTCTATTTCAAAGGCCTCCCTATGATTTAAAAATGAGTGTTTTAGGCTCAGAGAATTCCTTTAATCTCAAGGTTCACGTCCCGCCGTCCAGCTGGCAATAGTGTGACTGGTGATAGATGAATCGTTTCAGAGAGCGGTCAGTTAGCACCAGTGCTGAGCGTTTAAACGGACACATATGGACGAAAGGAGCCCTGAAAGGGAAAAGGGAAAAAAAAACAAGAATACTTTTAGGCACACGATCTTTTAAGTATTCTAATTCGTTTCCAAAAACACAAAACATTATTACAGGGCCTGATAATGGATCTCTCCCCCTCCCCTAGACAGTGACAGCTTTATAGCGGGCAGAAATGGCGAAGGAAATGTGCCGAGCCTGCAGCTGAGGAAAGGACAGGAAATTGGACGCCAATGAAAGGAGTGATGGGGGGGGAGAGGGGATGATGACAAGAAGTCCTGCCCCCCAGGGAGCTGGGGACTAAGGTTGGCATGACGACGACCCTCAAGTTCGGTGGGGTGACTGGTAAAGGTCATGACCGCTTTGGCTGCATGGAGCCCTGACCAATGCAACGAAACTTATCAGTGGGGTGGTTTTATTGCTGATTTGGTGGATGGGCTATATTTCGGTGCCCTGGGAGCTACTCAGGACTGTATGCCCACGGTAGCCTTTCAGAGGTCGGGGCCATCATAGAGACGCAGATGGAGCCGACAGCAGCCGCTTAACTGTGTCACTATGAATTAGGGACACGTTACTGGGAGGGGGGAGTGGAGGGAGATGTAGGGAGGTCAGAAAGAAAGACAGAAGGGGGTGTGAAATAGTGGGAAGAAGTGCAGATGAGGAAATTAAAACAGGAAATCCTCAGAAGTGGGGGGACAAAGGCTGTAAAATCACACATGTAGCTCCGCCCACGCTCATTCATTGGCTATTTTTCAAGGCACGACTAAACAAAATTGACAAAGTGAGAGCTACCTTAGACAAGCCATTTTGTTGCTGAAATGCAGCAGGACTGTAATAGGACTGTTAAAGGCATTATAGCTAATCAAACAAACTATTATTCATTACACAGTGGTACCTCAGTACTCAAACTCATAAGAACTCGAATTTCTTAAAAGTCGAACCAACCAGTTTGAAAAAAATTACCTAGAACTCGATATGAATGTCAGAAGTCGAACCGTGAACGCCGATAGCGTTAACTTGTATGTGCAGGGGAATGAGTCATGCGGCACGTCTCAGCGGAAACAAAGGGTAACGTTTCAGTCTCGCATTCGCTGTGATAACATCGTTTGTTGGTGCTTTTTTATTGAAAACATCAGGTAATGCACTGTACTTTATATCATTTTGGTAGTCATTGCTCACCAAAATGTTACGCAATAGTTGTACAAATGTTACAACCTAAAAGTTTGCGATTTACGAACAAATTAACGAATACAGA